TGTTTGGGATATCGGTGCAAACTACCAAAGCCCTTGCACAATAGACACTGTTAGTAATTTGCTGAATATAGTTGCTGAAGTAGAAAAAATCTCCAAACTGAATTTGAAATCTGAGGACTTTATTGATAACATCCATGCAGGATTTGTTTTTTATTACCTCATTAGAAGGTAACTGACCCTTCCCTTCTGCCAGGGTGGTTTTCGACTTTCCAGCAGAGCTTACAAACCCAGGACTTCTTGATTGTTTCGTATTCAAATAGCAATCAGTCCCAACCATGCATAGCTACAATGAAGACAGCCAAGTTTTATTACACAAATGCAAGAGAGTAGCAAAAATTTGTGCTGTGCAGTCTTGGTGTTTTCTGAACTTGGTGGTACCACAAGCTTAGAGAGCAATTTGGAGGGCAGAACACCAAGGACCCCACAATTCAACCCTGAGCTACAAATATTGATTCTATCTGTAGAATCTTTTCTTTTGGTCTCACTTATGAGAATCCTGTTTTAAAAATACTGCAGTTGCATGAAAAGGCTCCCTATGACTGGAGTAATAGTTTTTAGGGTACTGTACAGGGGTGAAATGCTCCTGGTTCGGACTGGCTCAGGCGAGTAGGTAGCGATGGCGGAGGCCAGTTCGGAGAACCGGTAGCAAAAATCCTTGCCCTCGCCCCCCCATGCCCAGCTGAGCTGCGCGATCATCAGAGCCTTTTTTTTTTTCTTTTAAATGGCTCTGACGATCCCAGCTGAGTTGCCTGCCGATCATGTAAAAAATGGTTTTAGAAGTAAAAAAAAAAAGGGCCACGCCCACCCAGTCACATTACCCCACCACCACCAAGCCACGCCCACAGAACCGGTAGTAACAAATTTTAGATTTCACCCCTGGTACTGTACTCTCTTTTTTTCAGTCATTTTATCAGTTTGTTTGCTACAGATTGCCTCTTAGGGGTCTGTACAATATTGATATCACGGAATCTGATAGAATGGATACTTGTTCCCTCCAAATTGATTCTCTCTGCTCCTTTCTTTAAATGGGTTCCAGAGCAGATTTAAGGAAAACACCATAAAGATAGGAGAAGAAACATGAGTCACCCAAATACCCATTAATTTCTTTGGATCTATAATAAAGTCAAAATCCAGCATGTAGTTTTTAAATCTATATAATTGGTAACAGGCAAAAAAGCTTATAGATGAAGTAACAGTATTTGGGAACAATGTTGGTGGGAATGGACTGAGTAAAAAAAAATTGTTTGAAGGCATAGCTTTAATTCATTTTATTTCTGGTACTATTTGCAGTTAATGTAGCCCTTTTCCTGACATAGAACTGTATATAGCAAACCTAATTCATAACTATTATACTAAGTTATAGTCCTAGACTGAGGTTTGAATGGGCCAATTATCATGAATATAGCATAGTCTAGGGAGATTCTCAGTCATCCAGGTCATGGTTGTTCCAAAAATACTTTTTCAATTATGCATTGCATCTTTGAAATATATTACCATATTATGACAGTTGCTTGGCATATAAAAGAAGAGGTAGAATTGTGAATGTCTTGCATATATGTTAAACCAAAGAATCAAACTGCAACAGTCTACTAACAGCAGTTTGTTTAAGTGGTTAAGAAACTCACATTCTTCCAGCAAACTCTAGGCATTTAATGATATTTGGGACACTCTAAAACTTCTCATATGTTCATTGTAGCTTACTGACTATAACTACATAAGGGCAGTGGTGGGTTTCAAAATTTTTTACTACCAGTTCTGTGGGTGTGGCATGGCTTGGTGGGTGTGGCATGGTTTGGTGGGCATGGCAGGGGAAGGATACTGTAAAATCTCCATTCCCTCCCCACTCCAGGAGAAATTTACTGCAAAATCTCCATTTCTTCCCGATCAGCTGGGACTCGGGAGGCAGAGAATAGATGGGGGCAGGGACAGTCAGAGGTGGTATTTACCGGTTCTCCAAACTACTGAAAAATTCCGCTACCGGTTCTCCAGAACTGGTCAGAACCTGCTGAAACCCACCTCTGCATAGGGGGATAAAAAGCAAACCATATGTTGGCTTCAGGGATAAAGTTACTTAAAAGCAACCAAATATGTTTAATGATTAATAAAGTCTTTCATTATTAAACAAAATAGCCTAGAATTAATTTTTCTTGATAAAATAATTTATTTTTGATATAATTAATAAATAATGTGATAAATTATAATTACAAGTAGATAAGGTTATTGTTTTCAAAAACACAATATAGTATTATTAGTTACATGTACTATTTATCAAAATTCTACACCACCCATCTCACCTAAGTGACTAGTAGGCAGTTTACAAATACTTAGCGGACCAGAATGATATTAACCACAGATATGCCTAAAGAGATTGCGGGGGGGGGGGAGCAAAGCACAGCAACTGCATTATTTTATGATGAAAATTATTTAATTTACTTACTGGCATTTACTTCCAAGTTCCTTGCACAATGACATCATGAAACATATGTCATCACATCACTGCAGCTTGTAAGGGATGCCACTGATTGTAGACATATTTTCTCCAAACTACTGATCTTTTTTTTCAGGTAATAACCATTTACAAATAAGTAATATTTTATTGTATTTGTATGCCACTTGACTGAACAAATGTAGGTGACTAACAGTCAGAGAAAGTACAACAAAATTATAAAAAATAAAGTGCTCAAGAAAGAAAGAAATGTGTGGTATTGTTGAACTCATTTAAATACTGGCTCATCTGCCCTACTAAAGCAGGAAATTATTATTCTATTAATAAATAATAAATTATTTCATCTTGCAGATCATGGTAGATAATATCTCAAATATTTATATTAAAATAAATTGATTTGTAAACATGCTGTCCGTTCATACATTTTAAAAATGACAGCAATGATATATATTTACTGATTTATAAAATTATTTTAGTTAAATCCATAGAGGAACTTCTTAATTTTTTACTCCACTGGCATCTTAACCCCAGTGAAAGCCATACAGACCAAGTTATAATTTTATCAGCTCAATACTGAATAGCTTTTGAAGACTTTGGCAACTTTGCCATTTTGCTTTTAAGGGAAGCAAAATGGGAGGGAAATGATCCCTTTATTATTCTGGATAAACTGGTAGATATTTGGGAAGACAAATCATAATCAGTTTGATTACAGATATTTGAATTTATCTATTTGAGTGCACTTCCCTGACAGTGCCCACAGTCCTATTGACTTGACTTGATTGTTGCTGTAGGGCATCTTTCTTAGAAGACACATGAATCTACAATCAACATTTCTGGGCTCTTTTAGCTCCAAAGTCTGTCTTTAAGGCAGGGATACAGTAGATATCCCACAGACAGTGAGTGGCATCCAACTCTAGGCATTTCAGATGGACACAAACACCACCGAACTCCCTACAGCAAGTGAGGCCGAACATTTTGGATCTCTTCATTTTAGGGGGCGGGGGTGAAGAAAAATGCTTGAGGCAGTTATATTTCAAGACACCTTCAATCCAGATTTTTCCCTTTGTGGGAACTCTCGAGGAGCTAAATTGGTGTCTTAAGCTTTAAGTTTTCACCCTCCCCAGGCTCCTAGAAAGGCTCTGGAGCCTGGGGTGAGCAAAAAATGGGCCTTCTGGTCCCACCGGAAGTCGGCAAATGAGTCCACCGTGCCATCGTGTGCCAACAGTGGTGGGAGTGTGGGGGGGTTGTGCGCACATGCATGGGGGGACAGGGCCATAGAATTATGGGTGTGGGCACGCGCATGCGTGCCACCCCCTGCATTCCTCCCGCTTTTGGCACACGATGGCAAAACGGTTAGCCATTGCTGGTATATAACATCTAGTCCAATTTATTTTATTTTATTTATTAAATTTTTATGCCACCCATCTCCCCCACAAGGTGACTGTGTGACTGAATCAGTTAACTGGATAATTTGACAGTTTATCGATCTATTGTACTTTATTCTTAAATTTTAGTAGAAAACTTAGACATTTGCCAATAAAGAGTAGAATATCACTATAGATTATTGCAATAATGAACACTATTGAAACAGCAACGTCTACGCTGGCTTGGGCATGTCGTGAGAATGGCTGATGGTTGGATTCCGAAAGATCTCCTGTATGGAGAATTAGTGCAGGGAAAGCGCCTCAGAGGGAGACCACAGCTGTGATATAAGGATATCTCCAAGAGGGACCTAAAGGCCCTGGGAATGGACATTAACAACTGGGAAACCTTGACCTCCGATCGTTCAGCTTGGAGGCTAAAGATGCAGCATGGCCTTCTCCAATTCGAAGAGACACTTGTTCGACAGGCTGAGGCAAAGAGGCAGTTCAGGAACCAGCGAAATCTGGGGTCCAGAATGTATTTGCCTCAGTGTTGAAGGGATTGCCACTCTCGAATTGGCCTTTTTAGTCACACTAGATGCTGTTTTAGGACCTTTTTCCAGAGCACGATATCATAGTCTTTTGAGACTGAAGGATGCCAATGATTGCAATAATCAATGTTCAACACCAGCCACTTTTCACACAAAAATTATAGTTGAAATTTCAAATCAAACAGAAGTAAAGTTCCAAAGTCAAATTAAATATAAGAGAACAAGCATCACTGATGACTTACTGTATATAAAACATCCTGACCTCTAGGAGTACACGGATAGGAAAGTAAATTATTCTAATAAGCTGTTTCCACATCCTCTTTCCTTATGTCCAATTTCCTTTTTTTCATGTTGTGAGATTACCTTCTACCATTTTTTCGATTGGGCTTATATTTTATCTTCCTCCAATATTCCATATTATGTTTTCCCCAGGATCTATTTTTGATACCATAAAAAATAATAATGAATCTCACATCATCTTCGTATCCTTAAACATTTTTTCAACCTTTCATCATAAATAAGTAACTCAATAATACTTTTAAATGAATGTTCATTGTTTGCCATGTCTCTATCTATTCAAATACACTTTTATTTAAACTACATAGTTGAAACAAATATCTTTCTCTAAGCAGATGCCTTCTTTATTCATTCTGGGTCTCCAACATTTTCTGTACTCTCTCATCTCATTTCTCCCCATTTATATCATATAACAGAATATTTCCCCAAATTGCATTCATTCAAAAAATTCTACAACTTTTTCCAAAACTCATTCCATGTTCTATCATTGTTACCGTTTGCTTGAGCGTAAAAAGACCTATCACCAACCTGTAAATTTCAATTTTTATACATTCACAAAAATTTAGATAACACCAATTCATAATATACAATTATATTTTAGGCCTTTCATTCATAATTACATCTTACTTTCCCTGTCAGTATTCATCAGTTCCACTCTACAAGATCAAACCATTTTATGTCAGATATACTGTAGGTAAGGAATTGGTAACAGAACCCCTAACTGCTTTGAATGAGTTCAAGTCTCCTTGATCAGATGGTTTATATCCCAGGTTGCTGAGGTAGCTGGCAGATGTGATCTTGAAATCAATGAATGAAATCTTTGAGAGGTCCTGGAGATGGAAGGAACTGGCAGCAATAATGTGGTTCCAACTTTTTTTTAAAAAGGGGGGGGGAATGGATCCAGGAAACTACTTTGACATCAATACCTAACATCTGCAGCAGCAGATTTGTGAGCACCTAGAAAAGAACAAAGTGACTAAGATAAGCCAGTACATGTTTATTAAGAACAGGTCATTCCAAACAAGTCTTATTGCCTTCATTGATAAAGTGACTGTTAGTGGACCAAGGAAATGCTGTGTATGCAGAATACCTAGAGTTCAGTAACGCATTTGATAAAATAGACCACAGCCTATTTCTTGGTAAGATAGAGCAGTGTGGGATAGATGGTACCACTACCAGATGGATCTGCAGTTGTCTGACCAACCACACTCAGAATGTGGCCCTCAATAGAATTGTCTCTATGTGAAGAGAAGCATGCAGTGAGGTACATCTTCGGCCCTGTGTTCTTCAATATCTTCATAAATTATCTAGATTATAGATCCTAAGGGACTGAAGTGATGCTCATCAAATTTGTCATAAAGTTGGAAGGAATTTCTAACATATTAGAAGATAGATTCAAAATTCAGAAGGATCTTGATAGACTTAAGCATTGGACCAGGGATGAAATGCTCCCGGTTCAGACCGGATCGCCCGATCCAGTAGCGATGGAGGCAGGTGGTTCGGAGAACTGGTAGCAAAAATCCCTGCCCCCCCATGCCCAGCTGAGCCGCGCAATCATCAGAGGCTTTTTTTCTTTTAAATGCCTCTGACGATCCCAGCTGAGTTGCCTGATCGGCAGAGGGTTTTTAAAAAACCCTCTGACGGTAAGGCAACTCAGCTGGATCGTCAGAGCCTTTAGAAAGCATTTTTTTACAACCTCTTCACTGAAGAGGTTGTAGAAAAAATGGTTTTAAAAGTTAAAAAAAAATGGCCACGCCCACTCAGTCACATTACATCCCCCCCACCAAGTCACACCCACAGAACCGGTAGTAATAAATTTTAGATTTCACCACTGCATTGGACCCTTTCCAACAGTGGTGTGAAAATTATGGTTTTGTACTTAGGCAAGAAAAAACAGGCTTACACCAGTGAGGCCATATTTGGAAGACTCCACCCAGTTCTGGTCACCAGAATACAAAAAACTTGCCAAGGCCCAAGTGCAGAGAGGAGCAACAAAGATTATAAGTAGCCTAGAGGCTAAATCCTATGAAGAAAGGCTAAAAGAACTAAGTATGTTTAGCTTAACAAATAGAAAACTGAGGGGAAACATGATAGCAGTTTTCCAATCCTTAAAGGGCTGCCAGAGGGCAGATGGCATCTATTTATTCTCCATACCACTTGAAGGTAGTACAAGAAACAATGGGTGGAACCTCATCAAGGGGAAATACAATCTGGAAATAAGAATTTTCTGACAGTAAAAACCAGTGGTGAAATCCAATTTGTTTTTACTACCGGTTCTGTGGGTGTGGCTTGGTGGGCATGGCAGGGGAAGGATACTGCAAAATCTCCATTCCAACCCCACTCCAGGGGAAGGATACTGCAAAATCCCCATTCTCTCCCCACTCCTGGAGGAAGGATATTGCAAAATCCCCATTCCCTCCCCACTCCTGGGGGAAGGATATTGCAAAATCTCCATTCCCATCCCACTCTGGGGCCAGCCAGAGGTAGTATTTGCTGGTTCTCCGAACTGCTCAAAATTTCCGCTACCGGTTCTCCAGAACCTGTGAGAACCTGCTGGATTTCACCCCTGGTAAGAACTATTAAGCAATTCTCAACTTTCTTCATCTAGTCCCACATATTCCTACTTATTTAACATATTTAAACACAACATCTTTAAACACAAAGTTAAGAATTACGTACTGTCAGAAAGACGTTGAATTGTATAATTATTACGGATGTATTTTTGTTATAGATGTATTTTAACTTGTATTTTTGGATTTTAAATGTTAATAAAGGTTTATATTTTTTTAAAAAAGAACTATTAAGCAACAGATTAGCTTGCCTCCTGGAGTTGAAAATGTTCCATTACTGGAGGTTTTCAAGAAAAGATTGGACAACCATTTATCCAATATGGTATGAGGATTCTTGTCTTGAGCAGGGAGTTGAATCAGAAGACTTCCAAGGTCCCTTCTAGCTCTATAATCCTATGTTCAGATATAGTCTACCTTCTCATTTCTCCTAGTTTTATAGACATAAATCATATCTATTTTTCTTTTATTCATAAATTGTCAGCCTTAATCATACTGAGGTCACATGCAGCATTCCCTGTTTTTAATTTAATTTATTCAAAGTGATATGGCAGCCTTCTCCAGAAGACTCTGGGCCTACAAAATCCATAAGAAACACTAAAACAGATAAAACAATGAAAACCCACAAAGACAGGCAGCCCAGATTAAAGCAAATATAGACCACATAAAATTTAAAAAAATACAAGAGAGACCCCCACCAACAGATCACACTCATATTAACCTTTGGCCTGGAACAGAACCACATCTTAAGGACTTTCCAGAGTTCCTCCCCCTCTCCCAAAGAGTAAGTACCCTTTGTATTTAGAATAGAATAGAATAGAATTCTTTATTGGCCAAGTGTGATTGGACACACAAGGAATTTGTTTTGGTGCATACGCTCTCAGTGTACATAAAAGAAAAGTTACATTCGTCAAGAATCATAAGGTACAACACTTAATGATAGTCATAGGGAAACAGTCAATATAAATCTTAAGGATACCTATTCTATTCTATTTCTGTTAATAGTAAAGAGAATGCTAGGCAGCTGGGGCATGTTTTGGACAACATACTTTAAGTTCAACAAATTTACCACAAGCATCCTATTTATGCAAGGTAGGACCTCTAATCTAGGAACCACCTTGTAAACTACTATAATTTTACCTGCATTACATGAGACAGTACATGCAGCATTAAAATTTAGATACCTTTGGATCAGTCCAGTTCATCTCTCACATTGATTAATAAATAAGATGGCCAGAAGTGAAATATTTATTGTTCTCATTCTGAGGTTAAATCCAGTGGGACATCTAATAACATTCTAACTGAATGTTGCTCACCTATGAAGAATGCTGATACACTGGCAGAGGTCTGCCTGGAAATGTACAAGCAGCAATCATGAAGAATTCTAGTTGGAATTAGAAAGTGTAGGAGGCCACATGGATGTTACATTGGTCCTAGTAGCCTGATGTAATTTTGCAGAGATATTCCTTTCAAAGAAATGTAAGGTAGGCAGTGGAAGTCCAGAACAAATGGTCATCTGTGAGAGTTAAAGAAAGACAGACAAAAATAGTTAAGCAAAAATTGCAATTATGTAAACATTCAATAACCCATTAGCTTCAGGGCCACCAAGGACTAAGTAAAGTAGCTATTAATTCATGGAAAGAGGAAGAGAGAAAAGCAATGAGTGTAAATCATGCTGTGTCCTTATACTGGCAAAGGGCAATCAACTGTTTTATTAATTCTTCTTTACAATTGAGATTGTTTCATAGCCAAGGTGCAGTCCGGAGATTTCTGCCAAGTTCTAGCCTAAGGGCCAAGTTCAGCTGTAGTTAATCAAGAGATTTATGTTTTAGTGCTAAGCCTGACATTCAAGAAATTCCACTGACCAGGAACAGGGCTACCTGAAAACTGATTAGATGGCTATACAATTCCCTTATGTTAGAAAAATAGGCACTTCTGTTAATTTTGGTTAATTGAAAGTTATGTTGTTAATTTACAAGGTTGTAGAACTTTACTTATACCAGTTAATTGACCGTCAAACCATGGAAGTACTAATAAAAGTAGCTCTTTTAGTGGCTGTAGCAAATTCCTTTTAATGCTATTCAGGTTGATGGCTATTATCTCAAATTAAGAATGCATTGTGTAAAGAAGTATTTCTTTTTGTTTGGTCTAAATCCTTATCCATTCAGCTTCATTGGCTGACCTCTGGTTTTTATTGTTTATAAAATGGAAGGGAGGGGGACATTCTCTGGGTTCATTTCTTATTCTTTTTCTTTTATATATTTCAATCCTGTCACCTTTCAGTCTTCTCTTTACCAAGCTGAGCAGTGCTAGATAGTTCAGTTCTTTCTATAAAAAGTTCATTCTCACTGATCACTTGGTTGCCCTCATCTGCATTTTTCAAGCTTTATTATATCCCTATGCTGACAAGAACTATACATACTATTCTAGATATGGAAATACCATAAAAATATATAAGGGCACTACAATGTTGGCCATTGGGGAGGTCAGGGAAGTGCCCCAATGTACTTTCCACATATTTAAATTGAATTATATTTCAAATTTTGTTGGTCCTCCGATTTAAAGAGATCCTTTGGAGATTTTCATAATAATTTTTAGTTTTCACACACTAAATAGTTTAGTATCATCTACACCAGGGTATCAAACTTGATTTCATTGAGGGCTGCATCAGGGGGCCTTAGGGGGCCAGGGTGAGCATGGCCAGCTCGACATTACTTGTGTCAGGGGCACCTATGGTGGCCCGAGTGCTCTGCCTGTGAAAATGGGCTCCCAAGCTCCTTTTTCAGCTGCGACAGCTTCCTGCAACCCTCTGGGGGTCACTTGGCCTTCACGAGCTCTGTTTTCGCTGGCAGAGGCACCACGGGCTGGTCCTTTGCTGTTTCCAGGGCCAGCCCCATGGGCCAGATTTAAACACCCCACGGGCTGGCCTTGAGTTTGACACCTCTGATCTACACTTTTGTCTGGCTTGAGAAATTCTGTACCCCAGGCATCTACAAAGCCCCTGTACCATGCTTGGTCTCCAACTGAGAATGGATCTGAGTAATTTTATTTCCCAGGTATATTGAAAATTTCTCAGCAGAGCCCTGAAGATGAACTTCAGGTTCCCCCTTACTGGGAAAGGTCTGAGTAACCCTAAACAGGCTGTTTAGAATAACTATGCTATGAGGTGTGTGAAATTTTATGGGTTTTATGTTGTAAGCCACCCAGATTTACCAGTGTGTTAGTTTATTTATTTGTTTGTTTGTTTGTTTAATAAGTATATATGGCCATCTAACTAAGTATTGCAATGACCCCGTCTTGCCTATTACGTTAACATGGCTATTATTTTATAATAATATTGTTGACATGAGCATTTGTCATCTTATTATCTCCTTTCCATCTCCTGATTATTGGTGTATTAATTTAACATTGCTCTTATCCTATGCTAGTTCAGCATTTGTTGGATTTCCTCAGAGACTAGTTAAGAACATGTTTTCCCACATTACATGCCAGTATTTCATTCTGTTTCATTCCACCTGGAGCTTGTCTCTCAGTTAGCGGTTTGGCTTGTCCAAAAAGTTCCCCGTGTCCAAAAAATTCAGAGCTCTTCAGCTAGTATCACCAATTCATCTACACACTAGGATTCCTGAACCTCCCTTGTCTAGGTAACTATGCAAGTGCTGAGAATGCTCCCCTGGCTGTGCTAGATTTCAACCTGCTACCCTAAAATTGCTCATGTTGCAAGATTGACCTCTTCCATTACTTCAGTCTTTGCTCTTTGGGAATTTGTTGGTACAGAATCAAGGAAATCTGTTTTTTTCCACAACGAGTCTCTCATTATAGAATTGCTAGAATTAGAATATTCTAAGCCATTCAGTGTCAATTTTAAGAGTAAAAAGAATTTCTTTTATCCAAGGTATATTGCTTGTCTAGGAGAACTATGCAGTTATTCTGAAACTTCATTTTCCCATTGAGGATGATGATGGTTGAGGGGTACCACAAAAAAATTTCTGACAGTCTGAGAATGAAGCCAATGACTTTGAAAGTATCATGTGTGGTTTCTTGACACTTTTTTTTTCCCTGTTCTGAAAACAGGGGATTTCTACCCTCTGTCATCTGGTATTTAAAACTTTCTCCAGAATTTCTCAAGAGACAATGGATAGCAGTCAGGAGCAAGCTCCTCTAGTACAATTCTAATTGCAATGGAAAAATGAAGTATTCAAGGATAGTAAATATCCCTGACTTCATTTCTATGAAGCTATTTCTATGAAGCTAAATATGTACCTATACGTCTTTGCCATTTAATAAGAAAAAGAAAAATAGAGACATACAATGGAAAAGGGCTGGGAAGCAGCCTGCCTTTGATCCAATGGGAAAGATGGGGACTCCTGGATACATGTTCAAATTATATGTGTCTTTCTCATCGTGTTCACTTTGATTTGTAACTACTATGAGTACATTCTTTCCAGGTAAGCATTAATTTATAATATGAAATTATAACATATGAATGATTTCTTTTTGTGGATTACATTCGTAACATCATCAGTCACTCATGTGTTCAAGGCCACATACAGCGTCTGTGATATGTAGGTTTATTATGCAGGAATAGAATATCAAACATAATTTGGGCATTTCTGAATACTAACATTATATGGTATGCCAGGCTTTGGAGTCTTCAGTGTTGTGAAACACAATTTGAATATTAATAATAGATTCTGATGAATAGGAACTTCTCAAATGTTAGTGACAGACCCATTGCTGTACCATTTACATACTCGATAGGCAAGAAAATAGAATAGTTGCTGTTGCTATGACATTTTACTAGGAAAACATACTTTGATGTTTTCCAGGCGCAACAGTACAGATTTAAAATGAACTCCACCACCAAGCTGTGTACAGTTACTTTGTTGGGTCCTTGTTTTGGATTCCCCCCATCCCATTTTCTAAAATACCTTTATAAATATCTATTATTTCAAGTCCTAGATTATATATCATGTAATACCAGCATTGGTGTTTATCTAAATAGATAAATAAGGCAACAATAGGTTCCAACAAAAAATAACTTTTCAAAATGATAAATATCAAAGTATCAGGACATGCCAATGCAACTTTTGAAAAGGTATATATTTTCAGCAAAGATTTTTTAAAAAGAGAATCAATTAACAGTTACATCCCTAACAGTTTCCAAATAACTTCTTGATTTTTATTCAGTCTTTGCCTTAAAAAATGTTTTCCTTGTTTAACTTCACTTTGACACATGCTTTGTAATATTGCTGTTCCATATTTCAGATATTCTTAAAGACTTTATTAGCTAAAACACATCAGCTGCAATTCTAAATTCATTAGCCACAATTCTTAGAACTGCATTGAGGTAATAAAATTTTGAATCCAGATTCCTTCTGTACTAAATAGGCAGATTGCCCACAAAAAAACTGGAGGACATTGTCATTTATAAATGCCAGTTATCATCTATTTAAAAGGAATCAATATAATGTAATGCTTTCTTAGGTGCTTAACTGCAAGAATTTCAGTACAACTAAATCAAAAACTCCAAACATAGCAGAGGATAACCAAAATTGCAGTTCTGTCAGGCTCTACATAAACCAGACCAAAAAGGCTAGATAGTATCTTAGTACTAAATCAAAAATGAAACATTCCAGCTTGGAAAAAAATATATTCCTAATTTACTGGAAAACTTCCATTTTCATTTGATATGAATTTTTACTCTTAACTGGAAGACAGATTTTGAACGATTGTTTGCAAGACAAAGAAAAAAAAATCAATTCAGATAAATTCTTTTTTCCCCTAAATTACCTCTCAATAACTAGGCCCTAGCAAATTTCCTCAATGTGTTGCTAAGCAACATGGTCATAAAGTGTGATGTCACATAACCATGTCACTTAGCAGTTGAAATGCTGGCAGTGACAGTTGCTGTCCTAAACCCAGAACCACATGGGTTGTTAAATGAGGCTCTCATGTGACTCCTATGAGGAAGAGACAAGAACCCAAGACAAACAGAGCCTTGGTAGTACAGTGGTCTAAAGCACCCTGTTATTAAGACCAGCTGCCTGCAATTACTGCAGGTTCGAATCTCGCCAGGCTCAAGGTTGACTCAGCCTTCCATCCTTTCTAAGGTAGGTAAATTGAAGACCCAGTTGTGGGGGCAATAAGCTGACTTTGTATAAATATACAAAAGGATGAAGGCTATTGCTTAGCGCATTGTAAGCCGCCCTGAGTCTCCGGAGAAGGGTGGCATATAAATCAAATTTTAAAAAAACAAAAAACAAAAAACAGGCCAGCCAGCAGGTGAAAGCTACAGGCTGTGAGGTGGTGCTGTGGGCAAGCACCAGGGTGTATGGGTGTGTGATGGTCGAAGCAGCACTCTGCAGTGGTAGTCTTCAACAATCTAAGCCTGCTGCCACTTCCTCCTCTACTTCAAGCCCAGCACCAGCCAGAGTGCCATCTCAACCACTGCATCAGGGAGCGTTCCTCACTTCTGAGGAACCAATGGCAGACTGAAAACCATAGCAGAAAGAGTATTTGGTGAATGGATCAGCTCCTCATAATTCCTCTTCAGAACAAGAAGAAAACCAGGATCACCCACAAGGCTCCCCATGAGGAGATTGGAAAACAGTGGTCTCTGGCAGGATTTAGAGCTCTTGGAGCCAGGGAGAAAATCATGTTGCCTAGTAGGGGTCCTGAGTCCTTGGGCAAAGACTCCCTAATGCTTCACCTGCCTACCTCAAAGTATGAGAGTGACATGAACTAGGAGAGTCATGCCAGCTCAGATATTTGCATCAGATATTGAAGAACAAGACAACCTGATGATAAGTGGGCTACTGGAACAAACCATTCATGGAGGGGAATGCTATTACAACAGCAGATCTAATGAAGGGAGTTACATGAAACATATGAGAGAACTATGGATGGATAGAAGACCTGCATCCACACTAACTGAGAAACAGCTAGTTACTCAGTGCTTCAACACAGTGAAAAGGGAAACTGCTCTCACAACTTGAAATACACTAACTACACATTACATCCCATACTCAAGAAGACTTGAAAGAACAACTGGATATGCAGCCAACCCGTCACTACCACCCTCTCTATTACAGAGCACAACAGCTGGTATAAGGACATGGATAAACTAGCTACAATACAATAAATCCTTGAGACTAGTTACCAAGGGTCAGTAGAGAAGTAACATCAGATAGTATGTTAAAGGATGCCAATAGAGCCCTCATAACAAACCCTACTACCACAATAACTCAAACCAGTAAACTGATAAATGCTACAGCTGCTATAATGCTGGAGATATAACACACATACACACACACACACACACACACACACACACACACACACACACAGAGGAAATAAGGTTAGAGGCTAAAATCAAGGCAACTTGGGGACAGTTTTTGGTTGGTAGAATTACAGAAAGGTGTGAAGATTAGGGATCAGACTCGGCTATTGAAAAAAGAACCTGATTTCATCTGAAGCCCTGAAGACAGTTAAACAAAGGCTACCAGGCTAAGAAGATACACTAGAGAAGCAAAGGCCAAGACTATAAATGCCCTGTTTTCCAAAGAACCATTCAAAGTGCATTAACACAGCCTGGATATTATCCACACCTACTAGCTAAACAAACTAATAGCAGTGCATAAAGGCCTAGTAGCACATACTGTACAAACCAAGTACCAGCAGCAGGATACTACCCAGACTGGCTAACACAAAGGACAGTGCTCATCATAAAAGGCCCCCACAAGGGAACAGCACCAACCAGTTATGGGCCAATAACCTGCCTCCCCACAACATGGAAAGTCCTATCAGGCATCATAACCACCAGGCTATAGGACCATATGAACCAATACATGATCACAGCTCAGAAAGGCATTGGCAATGACACCAGAGGCTCAAAACACCAGGTGCTCATAGGTAAAACAGTTGTCCGAGACTCTAGACAGACCAATCTGAGCACAGGACCACAGGACATGGACTACAGGAAAACCTACAACTCACTGCCACACATATGGATCTGGGGCTATGTGAATGCCTGGGGCTATTCAAAGTCAACAGGGCCCTCCTCAAGAACTCAGAGTGACTGTGGAGGACAACATTGGAAGTCAGCTCAAGAGAGCTCACACAAGGGAACATCAAGAGATGCATATACCAAACTGCTGTTCTGCATAGGCTTGAATCCCCTCGGCCAGATAATCACAAGGACTAGATATGGATACAAGTTCAAGAGTGGAACTTCCATTAGCCACTTCCTATATGTGGATAACATCAACTTATATGCTAAGAGTGAATGAGATACCAACTTGCAGATGCATCTGACATGTATGTACAATCAGGACATTGGGATGTCATTCAAAGCAGAGAAATGTGGTCAGATGATCAAGAGAGGGAAAGTAGTTAAGACTAATGGGACTATTTAAAACAAAAAATTCTTTCATTAATTTTTTACATTCTCTCACATTTCCCTCGTATCTAAATAAATTTTCATTTAATCGCCAAGATCTCCTAGACACCTCTCCATGTTCCAATTCCATCCACACCGGATTATGATCTGTTAGAGTTCTTGGACATATTTTCGTCTTCTTCACCCTAGAAAGGAAATCATTTGTAATTAATATAAAATCAATTCTGGAGAAAGATTGGTGCCTATCTGAGAAAAATGTAAAGTCTTGTTCTTTAAAATTCCGTTCACGCCAAATGTCTCTCAGCTCCATATCCTCCATCATGTCGAAAAAGGATTTGGGCAATCTTGCTCGCATTTGAGTATTTTGCAAAAGTCTCTTCTTGTCCATTCTAGTATCCAATACTCAATTCCAGTCACCCAACATTATGCAAGATTTATAGTCCCAGTTTATCAATTTTGTATGTAGCAACTTGTAAAATCTGTCTTGTTGTTGATTGGGTGCATATATTCCCACTAAATATATATAGCAGATATACAGGCCAATTTCAATTTCCTTGGTATCCCAATCACATGGAAAGCATGATGATGAGGCAAGAAGACAGCAAAATCCAAGTATCACTAAAGTTCTGACAGGTTCTTAAGAGCCTGTTCAATGAGAAGAACAAGAGCCATCCCATCAATATGTATGCCCTGCCAATCATCATCTACTTTGCCAGTATAGTGAGTTGGCCAAAGAAAGAAATGGAAGCTGCTGATATGAAGATCAGGTAGCTCCTCACAATGTACAGAGGTTTCCACCCAAGTTCAACACCTAGAGACTGTACACTAGCTGGAAACAGGGTAGTCGTGGTCAAAACCTCTATTCTAGACAAAACACAGAGCATCCAGGAATACATCAGTAAGATGCACCCAAAACTAAGCTGCTGAGAAAATGCCTGAGGCAGCAGCAGACATGGGAGGAAGATCAAACAGAGGAAATGCTATGGCAAGACAAGACCCTAAATGGGATGTACCAGATAGCTGTGAGGTAGCAGACTTGGGGGAACCCCACTAGTGCCTAGAAAAGGCTGGACTAAAAGGCAGCACTGAGGCACTGATCATAGCAACACAAAAACAAGCACTAAGCACCAGACCCATAGAAAGAAGGGTCTACCACACCTGACAGGATCAAAGGTGTAGATGATGTACAGAGGCCTCAGAGACAGTTCAACACATAGTGGTGGGATGTAAGATGCAGACAGGAACAGCATACACTGAACAGCACAACCAAGTAGCTAGTATTGTGTACAGAAACATCTGCACAGAATATGGGCTAGATCTTCCTAAGTTCAGATGGGAGATTCCACAGAAAATCATGGGAAATAAGAAAGCTAAGATCCTATGGGACTTCCAGATTCAGACAGATTGGCAGGCACTAGCTATCAACCAAAAGTTATGAATGAAATATGGGGCTGGATGAATTTGGAAAAAAATATGATAGGAGAGGACCTAAAAAGTTGACTAGAGGGAGACAGAAAACTAAAAGAAGAGACCTTTTGCTACAGAATGGAGTAACTTTATTTGACTTTGGAAGAATTGAAATTTAATATTTCAGAACAATGCACCAGGAAATTACTGTTAAGAATGTGTGCTATTATAAAAATGGATTTGGAAGAATTTATGGAAGACAAAGATTTTACTGGATAAAACAGAGATTGATACTGGTTTGAATGTGGATCTGAAAATGGATTTTAAAATGTCAGGCTACAAGAATGAAATGGAAAACAATGTTACACTAAATTTATAAATGAAAAACCAGCTGATATTTTAATAGTTAAAGGGGACCTACAAGTAATACATCAGAAGAATGATTTGGATAGCTTTATCTTATGTTTACAAAAGAGGGGTGTTAAACTTGTAAAGGAGTTTCTGAGAGGAGACAGAAAATGATGCTTTCCAGGGCTTCTAATGTACTGCATTCACTGGAAAAGTTTTTTAAAATTCAGGGAAATATTCAGAGAGGTATCTGCCTTGAAGGTAGCTCATGTTGAACTGTATAGTATAGTCAAACTTCAGGAGGTGACCACAGAAAATGTTTTATGGCATTTTGTATGAAATAATAAAATGCTTTCTGATAAATTTTATGTCATATTTTATAATGTGCCAAATTTCAATTCCACATGAGTCATAGGTCCGAGATTTTGGTTGCATTCTATAATACCCCATTTGAAATACCTTGGTTGAAAATGTTTTGCCTTTGTTGTTGCTGTTAGTCACGAAGTCATGTCCAACCCATCGCAACCCCATGGACAACGTTCCTCCAAGCCTTCCTGTCCTCTACCATCCCCCAGAGTCCATTTAAGATCACGCTGACTGCTTCAATGATTCCATCCAGCCACCTCATTCTCTGTCGTCCCCTTCTTCTTTTGCCCTCAATCTTTCCCAGCATTACGCACTTCTCCAGTGAGCCCTTCCTTCTCATTAGGTGGCCAAAGTATTTGAGTTTCATCTTCAGGATCTGGCCTTCTAAAGAGCAGTCAGGGTTGATCTCCTCTACGATTGACCAATTTGATCGCCTTGCAGTCCAAGGGATTCGCAGGAGTCTTCTCCAGCACCATAGTTCAAAAGCCTCAATTTTTTGGCACTCAGCCTTCCTTATGGCCCAACTTTCCCAGCCATACATTGCAACTGGGAAAACCATAGCCTTCACTATACTCTATTTTTTTCTCTGCTTTGCCTTATGATGCCCCACTTCATCTGGTTAAAGGTTACCAACACAAGAGTTTTAGTAGTATGTGAATAGATAGATAAAATATTGGAAGAAGGTGGGGGGTCCATGTTTTGAGAGAAAGCGGTAAATTACTGCATTAAAAGGAAAGGAAAGTAAAACCGACTTTTGGGGTTAAGGTTAAAATATATGTTATTATATCTAGTAACTCTTAATGGACTTTTGTTGATCAGATTGAATGATAAGGCTTTAAAGATTAAAGAAGGTATCTTCTGTTGAAATATCAGAGGTGATAAGTTACTGAATTTTGTATTTGCTTTGATGGAGGAAGAAGTAATTTCTTTATCTTTTTTCTTCATTATTTTCTTTTTTTGCCCTTTATTTTTACTTTTTATATTCTTCTAAGTTTGTATTTTTATCTTTATATTTGTATATTTTAATGAACATTATTGTAAATGCGGGTAGGCCCAAATTAATATCACGTGACTATAGGGACGCTGCTATGGCCTGAATTTTGAATATCAGTAATAAATCTTTCCATTTTTGTAACTTTCAGAAAACAGCACATAGTTCTAGGGGGAAAGGGATTTTTTTTTAATTTTTCCAACTTTTGCCATCTTATTACAAAGCTGACGTTTAGGTATGCGGGTGGATTTGTTTCCTCTTTCTGAATGAAGACAAAACCCTGCATATCCATTATTGACCTCAAAGAAACCAACCTTGAGGAAAATAATTATAGGACCGGTGTCACCACAAAAGAGACATTGGAAGATTTAATACTTCTCTTGATTCTTCCTTTTTACATTTAACCAGCTCATTAATGCAAAAATTTCTGCCCAGCACAAGAATCAACAATGCAAGAACATACCTTTTCTCATCCCAACAAAAGTTGATATAAATTGCATATATAACACATAATTTATTCCCTGGATGACATACACCTGCTTAAAATGGATCCATGGTTACTTAAGCAACATTAAATAGGTTTGTCTTGAAAGTGTCACAGCAGAAGTTATTCTTTTATTATAATTTTGAGTGCAAGTAATATGTTTGAAATAGAAACAAAAGACTATTCCAATGCCCTAATGAAGGTTTTCATTCTAATTTTAAGTCCTTTGAAGTCATCCAAGTTATTGGCATAGAAATAATTATCACAAATTATAAATAGTGAAAAGAGATGAGGCTTCAATTGTGTAGCAGTGGCCACCCATTTGACTTTTCAGACACTTTCCCCACCCACCCCGGCCCTTGTGGGTGCAGGGTAAGAAAAGCGCACCTGCTGGCATCCTAGCAGCCATCCGAGAGGAAATTCTAAACTCTCTGCCCAGGAGAGAAATGTCTGAGATTACATAGAAATTGCTCAGTGCCGCTGAAAAAACTAAAATCCTCTCGGATAAGGCGTAGTATTGGCAAAATACAAAATACTTCCAAGAGAAACCTGTTCTAGAGCTCTCTGTTTTCTCCGAAATTTAAGATCAAGCAAGGAAGGCAGCCCTGGGCCAGAGACAGCGCCGGATGACGAAACAATCCTCCTAACCTTTCACGTCAGAACGCCCGGTAAAGATTTTACAGCCCGGGGGGGGGGGGGGGGGGGGGGGGGGGGGGGGGGGGGGGGGGGGGGGGGGGCGGTCTGTCCAGGCAGCCCGCGCTGAGCTCGAGAGCGCCTCAGGAGAGAGGATGGGGCTCCTAGAACTGCTGCCCTGGAGACCGGCGGCGAACCTCGCCCTCGGGGAGGCGGAAGGGCTCCTGAAGGCCGCAGACAAAGCGGGGAGGGCGGGCAGGAGCGTTGTGGGGGGGGTTGTATTTCTTAGAACAAGCCAAGCCCTGCCGATTTGCTGTTGCGCCTCCAGCATCCCCTGCCTCTGACATATCTGGGAGGAATTACTAGGAGTCCCCGCCTTTTGCGTGTGGCCTTCCTTCTGAGGCGCGCCTTGCACGACGCGTCTCCTCGGCTGTGGAGCTGCAGCTGCCTGTAGCGAAGGGGGCGGTGGCCAGGCCGGAAATGGGTGAAGCTATATGAAAACCCAGAGAGTGGTCCTCGGGGTCACCTGGCCTGGCACAACCTGCGCGGCTCCCCTTCTGCGCAGTTCCTGCCTCGGTCTCTGGAGGGCAGCCTTAACCCCCTGGCCAATGGGTGTGCAGGCAGGGCTTCCATGGGCGCCGGCTCTGGCCACTAGAGTCCCTGGCTTTGGAAGGGGCACCAGCTAAGAGAAGGCGGCTTTCTGCAGGCCTCCATGGAAGGGAGACTGGTCTGCAAGGGGGGGAAAGGATTTTTGGGGGAATGAATGAGGGTTCAAGCCAAAAGGAGTTTTCCCCTTGTTTTGTTTTCTCTGACCAATCACGTTCACATCCAGCCAGGAAACTCCATCAAAATGAATGAGACTCAGCTGGAACAAACCCGCAAAGGACTGGGCTGTAATTCTCTACTCACCATTGAATTCTATGGAGCCTGGTCGCGTTTTCTTTCCCTGAAACTGGTGGACTCCCGCTAGTATGTTGTGCCCAACGAATTGTTCTGGAAGACATTTCATCTCCTTCCATGCTCCACAGCATCCAGAAGAAAACCCCTAGTTTTCCAACAAAGAACTTCCAAATCATTTGGAAAATTTGCCGAAAATAAGTTTTTCTGCAGTAAAATATTAATAAATTCAGGACTTTGGAGTGGTTTCTTGCATTCAGTAAAATAAAGCAATAAGAGGAAAATGAAATCTAGGTGCCGGTGAAAAAGAGGTCTCTGAAAGGTGAGCTGAAGCAGGAAAGAGAGCTTGAAGGCTCTAGAGGGCTTTTCTAAGAAGCACCCTATTAACTGTTTTTAGTGCCTTTCTACCAGAAACTCCCTTAGTCTAACTCAAAGAATGGCCACCAGGGTAGTGCTGTCATTAAGGTTACTCTGCATTTTATTCAAGAGCATTTTTTACCTCCTCTTTCTGCTTCTGGGGCTGAGCTCAAGACACTGAAATAAGAAATCAGGAATGAACGTGATGAGCTCTGATACTTTTAGGCGTTTGCCCCTAGGTTGAAGAAATAGATGCTCCCCTCAAATTGCAGATAATTCATGATCGCCAACTCAGACTTATTTAACTGCTAAAAAGCACAAAACTTTTCTTTTTCAATTGAAGCCTCAGCAATCCCAATGGAGTAAATTTGGCCAACCAGAATGGTTAATGGCCATTCTGTAGGAATGGATAAAGCATAGAAAAATGAAAAAAAGGAAACAATGTACACTTGAATTTGAAAATATTTTATTTGAATAATAAATAATTATACAGTTAAAACAGTTCTATTGAAGCATTCTATAAATAGCTAACAGTTAAGAAAATAATGTGTGTAGAAAAGAGATTGCATCTAAAAGTAAGCTGAGCTGTTTGAGAGCTCTCCAAGCAAGAATAAGAGTTGCAGTTGTATGTTTATTCTAGATATAAAAGTTAAATCCCTTTCAGCAGATTTGTTTTTTGTTTTTTTTTTAAAAAGAAGGTAATGGTGCAACCCCATGTATCTTTACCTAGAAATGAGCCCCACAGATTTCAGAAGGACTTACGTCCAGGGAGGTGAGTTTGGGACTGCAGCACTTAAGAGCACAGTGAAATGGTAAGAGAAAGGCAAAGCACATCAAAAATGATATAAACACCATAATTAATAAATAACCAATAAATAACCATTGCGCATAAATCAACATATACACAGAGTGTCAACAAATATCTCTAGTTCAAAAAAGAAAGAAACCGGAACGGTTGGCATTTTATAATATTAAGGCAGCGTCTACAACATTTTTCAACAACAATAAAGTCAAGGCAATTGTGGCTATACTAACCAAAGTTATATCTTTAAGCGGTTTGATTTTGTTCACATACAAAATAAAATTTAAGGAAACAAACCAACCAACAACAACGAAAAGGTAAAGCCAGATCCCAGCAGTTCACAAGCCATAATAAAGCTAATCAAGTAGGTAAATGTTCAGTTCACAGCCTGTGAAATGTAAAGGCATCCATCATCATTCCTTAAGATTCACTTGGGGCAGCGGGAGAGAGAGCGGGGATTTTTTCCCATTAAAACAGCTCGGACCTTGGAGCAGCTCCCGGGTGCAGGGAAAAGAGGGAAGGGGCTGCTCCAGAGCGCGCCCTCCGAGCGGCACTGCTAGGCGCCATAAACCCCAGCATCAAACTGATGCTCAGTGGCTGGCAGGGGTCGGGGGTGGGTGGGAGCCCTACGAAACAGCAGCAGCAGCAGCTGAAGAAGGATCGTCGCTGGTTGGCAAACTGACCCGGCCGGATTCCCGCAGGAAGGGCCAGCCAAGTCTAACAGTCCTTGCCATTCCGCAGGTCGGTCTAGCGAGCGAGCGGGCGGGCGGGCGGGGCGGCGGTGGTGTTGGTGCTGGAGGCAAGGCACTGCGGGACTCCCTCTAGCAGGCTGGGCGAACGGGAACCTGGAGCAAGATGACCTGCCGGTTCTCCGACGGATGGCATTTATTGATGTGTCGGGTGAGGCCTGGCGAGCTGTAAAACGTCGCTGGGCAGTATTTGCAGGGGAAGGCCTGGGCAGCATGGAGCACGCGGAGGTGACGCTCCTGACCACTCTTACTGGGAAAGGTCTCCCCGCACACTGGGCAGAGGTGGCACTCCCCGGACAAGCTCAGCGGGCTGTGGCCGGCCGCCGCCTCTTCCAGACAGGCCTCGGGAGGCGGCCGAGCCTGGGACAAGCCGTCAAGGGGCTCGTGGTGGAGCGGCAGGTGCTTACGCAGGGCGCTCTGGCGTCGGAAGCGCTTGGCGCAACGCGGGCAGGCGAATTCCTCGGCTCCGGCGGCCTCCGGTTCTCCACTGCTGCCGCCCCCACCACTCCCGGGACTCGGCGTATCCCGCTCGCTGCTGCTACTACTGTTGCCGCCGCCGCCGCCCCCTCCTTTGGCCGTCTCCTCCGGAACAGGCTTGACCTTGGTCGGGGGGCCGTTGACTGGCCGCGGTTTGTGCCACCGGCGATGCGAGGCCAGGTTGGCCGGACAGCTGAAGAGCTTGTCGCACTCGGGACAGCGGTATTCGACGCGCACGATACGCGAGCACTTGTGCTGAGCCAGAGCCAGCGGGTCCGGGTAGCGTTCCTTGCACAGTTGGCAGATGAATTCGCCCAGCGGCTGCGCGCTCCCCGCTCTCAGCCCCGCGGCCGAGCCAGGCGGCGGCTGCTGCTGCAGTTGCTGCGTGGCTAGAGCAGGCTCCGGCGGCCCTTCTTTGATCCGCAGCCCCAGCACCGGCGACGTAGTCACCTCGTCCTCGAAGTGCAACTTGCGCGCCGCCTTGGCCTTTCTGCCCTGAGACCGCTTCGACGCGCCTGGGCTCGGCCCATGGCTGCGCTGAGGGCCGGGCGGCGGGCCAGAAGCGAGGGCGGCGGCGGCGGCGGCCGCGACTGCCCAAAGCTTGAGCTCTCCTCCAGGGCCCAAGAGTAACGGTTCCGGCGCCGGAAAGGACTCGGCCGAGACGGGCGAGGCCAGGTGGAGGCTACGCTCCTCGCTCACCGCTCGCGCTGGACTGTGCAGCGGCGCCGGCGAAGAGGGGCCCTCCGGCGTCCCAAACTGCGGCACCGCGGGCGCAGGCAGAAGCGCCGCTTCAACGGATTCCGAGACAGAAGCCGCGCTGGGGAACTGAGGGGCGGGAAAAGGTGGAGGAACCAAGAGCTGCACCGGATCGCCTCCTTCCAGCCCAGCGGCCGGGTAGCAGGAGCAACGCGTCCGGTAAGAGATGGGCGTAGGTCTGCGACTCCTCTTCACCAAAAAGCCCCGGGGCATCCTCGGGCAGCTCCGGAAGGCGTCTGCGGCTGGTGATGCTACTTCCTCAGTCTCTGAGCGGCAAGCGCGGTGCTAGCATCCAGCCGGGTCCTTCTTCGACCAGCCCGCCTTCCTTCCGTCAGCCGAGCCAAACGAGAGCGAGAGAAACCGAGGAGGAGGAGGAGGAGGCCTCGCTTCGCCTCCTCACTTCGCAGCTGTCAGTCTGTACTGCGGCGGACTCCCCGGGCGTCCCCGCCAGAGCGCCACGGCCGCCGAGTCTCGGTGATGTTGCCCCCCCAGTCGCCCAGCCTCACCGCCCGCTTTTTAAGGGGGGAGGACAGCATTGTTCTGGCCTCCTGCTCCTCCCCGGAGCCAATCAGCGCTTCCCGCGGCTGCTCCATTGGCTTTGAGGCAGAAAGGGGGCAGGCGCCCGCCGAGCGAGTGGCTGAGCTAGGTAGAGCGCAGCAGATGTACCTGAGGGGTTCGGCGCTTCTCTTTTCTTTTTGTTTTTCCTCCCCCTCCTTTTCTTTTCTTAGGCCTCCCTTCCCCCTCCCCTCCTCGTCCCCCAAAAGGCACACGCCCAGCTCCGCCTCCTTTCACGGTCTGCTGCTTTTCTATGGGAAGGCGCACGTGCCTCCCTTTTGTGCCTTTTCTCCAGGCGGGGCACAAGAGCTGCCAAATCGAAATAGCCATCAGCATGACAATAAGGGATGGGGAGGACGAGTGTGTTGGCAGTTGGGGGGGGGGGGAAAGTTGCCCACACCTCCGCGAGCAAAATAGCAACAAAAGAGAAGAATGAGTCGAAATATGTCGAGGAGAGGGCAAAATGCAGGCGGGAGAAAAGGAGGGAGCCACGAACGATGCTGACCAAGAGAAGGGCGGCAATTGTTTAAAAGCCCTCCGGGGCCAGGAAAATCCTGAGGAAAGGGACGGCTATAGAAATCGTGGGGCGCGCGAGCTTTTAGTGGCGGAACAGAAGCAGCCCAGCGTCACACATGGGGGGGGGGGGGGGGGGGGGGGGGGGGGGAGGAAATGAGGACAAGGCGACGCGCGCCAGCCCGGCCTCGCCTCCAGCCGCTTGTTGTCTTTGCCAAGGCAAAGGTTTCTCGCGGCGAAGAGCTTTGTCCGCAGAAAGCATTGCGGCTGCGCTGGCGCTTTTGAGGAAAAAAGCCGCCTCCTCTCGCAACTCTCTTCCCTGCTGTCCAGCTTAATCCTGTGCAAACCTACTCAACAGTAAACCCATAAAGTTCAGTGGGGTATTGCCATTTTTAATTTATCAGGCCAACCGGTGTGGTGGTGGTGAGGAAGCGAAATCCCAGGCGCTCATAGGCGATTTCCTTTCCAGTTCGAAGAACCGCAGGCAGAGGACAGCCGGGGAGACCTGTGGCTGTTTCAGACCGCAAAGATGTGCGCTGTAGCGTAGACGCTCAGGAAGGAACCGCCGCTGCCTTGGAGGGTGCGCATGTCATGTCCCTGCTGCTTCAACTGTTTACCACGTTCAAGCATTAATGCATTTATAAATGTGTACAGGCCATATTGAGCAGAGTGGAATGAGCTTTTGTGCCTTGACTCGATAAGACATTTTGATATGGAATTGTACTGTAAATACAGGTAACACCTTGGGCCTAAGAGCATCCTGAGTAATGAAGCTTTTACTTGCTTTTCTAAGACCATCCGGGTGGGAGGGAGGGCTCCTTCTCTTCCAGCCATCTTCGGATTCTAGTTAGGGACAGGATCTGACTACAAGTCTTTGCAACAAGTCCGACTCAAAACCCAGGGGCTTTCTGGAACAACAGCGACTGTGCAGCTCCGCGGCTTAAATTCCCCTCCTGGCTAGCTTTCCACCCGGCTAGGGAAGCAGCGACACCATTTTCCCTACTCTTGCAATCAGAGGCTCTCGGGGGCCCCCAAACAACACCCCAGGACCCCTCCAATCTGCCGCGTCTGGAATCTTCTGCCTTCTGCCTGCCAGGTTCGAAATTCTATTTTCTAACTGCTTTGCCCCCCTGTAAGGTGTAATTATAGTGAGCCGAATTCTTTGGAAACCGTGCCCGTTTATTTCGGCTTCCTGTCGGTAGATCGGATTGTTTCTTTCCACCTTCTGGCCTTGATCCGATATTCTCCTGAGCAATCTTCGAGGAGGAGCTGGGCTGCATTTCAAAAGGGGCAGAGAATCGCCCCCTCCTCCTCAAAGCACCAGATGGTTCAAAACCGAATTCATTCGGTTTAAGTGGGCTGATGGTGGGTCGCCATTCTGATACAGACTCTTTAAAGTTGATGAAGGCGCCCTTGGCGTCTCAGGGAGGGAGCGAGAGAAAGGACGGAGCCGGAGGGGGCTCATGCATTTTAATCCAGTGAGGGCATTTTGCTGTTTGACATCTGATGCTAAATCAAGGGTTCTAATCAAGTAGCCAAAGCGGGGGAGAGAGAAAGGGTCTGTCTGCCCAAGGAGGTCTTCCTCTGTCTGCCCCGCCACCTTTGTCAAGGAAATTAACCTCTGGGTATTGAAAGGGAACCGCGGCCAATCTGGAGCAGCAAGAGGCGCGTGCTGCTGGGGGTGGGGGGTGGGGGGTGGGGGGGCAGCGACTGGAGAGACTCCGTGCTAAGCCTTCCTCAGCGGATGCGCAAACCCAAAGCCACCACTAGCCGGTTCGGGTCTTCGGGCGCTGGGAGGCCTTAGAACAAGAAGTTTCTCCTGTCAGATCTTACGCTTGGCCCGTTTAAAAAAAAAAAAAAAAGCAAACCGGGCGGCGTAATCGGGGAAAGAAGAGCGGAGAGGGAGTAGAAGCGCGGTTTCCTGTCCGCTTTACCGACGCTGCCCCGCTCCTCTACAAGCCGTCCTTCAAGGGCTTTCATGGGCAGCATTCGAGGCCCCGCGCGTTTCGTTTTGCTGACTGCTATGAAGTTAACCAGAACGTGGATTTGTTCAGGGCCGACTACGGCACTAAGCCGAAGAGAAAGGAATAAGAGCCACCTAACCCGGTACTTCCCGCTATAAGTGACATCCCCCCCCCTGGTCAGTCAATCAGCAACCTTTTCAAACATTAGCTGCAAAGTGTCTCTCAGCTCTACGCAGGTCAATTTCCCAATCTCTCCCCAAAACCTCGAAGAGATGAACAGAATCGTTTCCGGAGATCTTGTTTCCCTCAAAAGGACCCTTTTCCTCACTTAAAGCTGGTAAAAAAATAAAGAAAAAACGAAAAATAACTCTTCTTTAACTGTATTGAGTTATGTCCTTCTATATTAAACCCAAGCTTTATCAACATTCAGTATTGTAATCTATAGTTTGGGTATGGATTCCAAGTATTCTCTCAACCATTCTCTGTAGTGAATCAGATACTTTCTCTCTTCTCCCCCAACACACACCACTAATATAAATGTAATTAGTCTCTTCATTTAGATTTAGGGAGCTTTCCAATTGCCAGGAAATTAAATGCACTGGTAATTTGTCCCAATTAAATTTGATCCCTGTACTGTACTATACAGTTATTAAATTTTAGATGGATTTAAAAGACAAAGTGGGTTATTTTAATTTAAATCACTGGGGACTCAAAAGATGTAAGAGGTTTTAACACACACACACACACACAAAATACACAGTAAACTCTTGATTACGCTTGGGATTTTTTGCCTTTTATCCATGCCACATGAAAGTAAATATGAACCCCCTTAGTTTAAGATCTTGTCCTTTCAAAAGTATTTGAAAAGAACAGTCTGTTTTGCAATGAGAAGGGAGAAAAAGGAGAAACATGGGAAGCATCATTTTTCAAAGCAAGTGCAAGCAGCTCTTGTAGAAATGTGTGCAACTAGTCAGGGAGAACCCAGTTTCTCTCATTTTTGCAAGCAAGCATTTTAGGATGCCTTGCAGCCTAAGGCCTTCCTCCACTTGCATGTAACCCTTTTGGGAACATACTCTGAAGCTCTCTGCTCCCCTAAGATAAGATGAACTCAGCTGGACTGTTGTTAAAAATTGCCTTTTCCACCTTACCATGTGTGAGTCAAAGCTCCACCCATTATATCAGAGACAAAGTCAGGTGACCAGCAACCAATGGGGCCAGAGAGGTGCTTATTGGCCATTTCAGGCTAATAGGGCACACCCTCTTCCCTGGTCCCTACTTGACCTTGCCAGCCACCATTCTGCTGCTGTCTCCCTAGGGAACTGGACACTGTAGCACATGAAACACAACTACCTGTCTGGGCTTGAAGTAGAATAACAGTGAAATTATGTAATAGAATATTGTAATAGGTTGAAATAGCATAAAACTGATGGGATGGTACATTCCCCCACCTTGCCTCCCAAACAGCACAGAGGAATCCATAAGTAGATATCTGTGCTAGTGACTGTTTTTCTTGCTTGATGGTGTTATACTGAAAGAGGTGGCAGTAGATTCAGAGATCTTAACCAACAGCCTTGCCACTTCTATGCTGTCCATGCAGAACAACACTACTCAGCCACTAGTCAGAAGACTGGCAGTAGGAGCAGCAGATGGATCAGCAGTGGGCAAAGCAATTTTTTCTGCAGCTTATAAAACAGGTGGAACAGCAACAACAATGAGGAATGTCTCTAATGCAAGTAGCAGAGATTAGGGCTAGAGATGTTGTACTTCACAAATTATTTATTTATGAAGTAAAACTCTGTTGGTTTCTAAGGATTTTAAGGCTCTTAGAGGATGAAAAATGGTGTTTCCTGTGCCATTCCAGTCAAGCACAAAGCCCCCCAAAATATGCAAACAGAGTGATTCCCAGTAGTGATTTATGACATCTTCTAGCTCATTCAACCATGCAATAATCCTGAGAATGGGCTTCAGAATGTCACAGTGATGCTGTGAAATAATGCTAAAGATAGTTAATCACTAATGGAAAAAGCTTGGAGAATTTTCAGTCTTGTCTATTGGAATGTAGATCCCATCAATTTAGGCTAAAACATGAGAAGTATCAGGTTGAGCATATGTATGCATGATTAAGAAAGAATAGAATCCACCACTAAAACATTCCAATGAGAAATACTAAATTTTCTCTTTCTCCCACTAAAATAAATGAGACTTTCTAAATCAATTTACCTGGAAATTAAGCATCATTTGGAATCAGCCAGCCTTAAATAAACTTGTATAGCATTGTACCATGAAGTGCTCTGAGCTTGGCTTGAATTGTGACTCAATCACTCTCATTAATGGAAGATTTACAGTACTTTGCAAGCCAAAGTACTGTAAAGAAATATTGGTTGGCTGGATTCACACAGTACAGTTGGCCCTAAACCAGGTTAACTAAATGCAATAGCTGTGATTATAACACATGCTATGCTCAATACAGTAATCTGGATCACTCAATATGCTTAAGACAATCATAGAATTTCTTGCAATATGTTGAACACTTTATCCAACACCATTTCAGCCTGATGCAGTGTGCTGTTTGAACCTATATATTATTAAATGAGTCACTGACAGCTTTTAGCTAAATTGCTTACTTGTGTGTTATTCAAATGGAGGATTAACAGGAAAATACTATTTTCAGTACTTGGGATCTTTAAAATAGAAAATACTGTGTCTCTGAGTACA